GCCCATTGTTTTCTGCAAATAGTCTGCATCAAATTTGGAGAGCTTGGCTTGTAAGATCCGGCTTTCCCAAAAAGGAGCGGTTAGCTGACACATCTCGCGTGAGTCATGAGCCAGCGTCAGCGCTGAGCGCGTCAGCGAAATCGGAAGAGGTCACAGGCGGGAACACTCAAGTTGGTGTGGTAGCGCAACCCGGCATCCCGTTACAATTTCCGCTATGTTTGCACCCTTCTGGCTGATGGCATGCTCTCTAGTCCAATGTTACCTCAGTATATGATACAGCTAGTGCTATATGGAGGTCGACGATGGGGGAGGAAAAACAACGCGCCCGACGAAGTTCGGGTGAATTCTGGTCACGTTCGGTTCGCCACAGGCTTCCTTCAAGTTCCTTGCGTGATGAGCATGACGCTCGCTGGCTGATTTGCGTCATCGCTTTTCCATTCTGGGATGGCTCGAGCTTACAAGCCAAGGTCTCCAAATTTGAGGCAGACCATGCATCGGAACGACTGTCTTCCGTGCATGGTCTGCATCTGGAGACTATTCTGCAAACAAGACTGACCAAGCGCGCTGTGTCACAATGTGACGGACGCGTTAAATGAGACACGTGTAGTCTTGTTGAGTTGCTTAAAAGCTAGGTTGTTCGTGTTGTCGTTCCACCGTCCTACCCTCGTCTATCGTAGCTCGGCTAGAGACTTGTAGTGACCACTATGCCGCCCAAGAGGAAAGCCGGTGCGTTGAGGCTGTATGTCACGGTGCACGACGCGTCTGACTTTGGGTGCCAGCAGAGCAGTCTTCCGCGACAGCGAAGCCTGCCAAGAAGCCGAAGGTCGCGACCAAGGAAGTTGGTGAGTTTACCCACAGTATAGCGCCATCACCTCCGCGACGCTCATGCCACCCTGGATAGCTGCCAAGCCAACCAAGTCCTCGGCTAAAAAGCCTTCGGCCAAGTCCGTCGCCGCGCCTAAAGCCAACGCTGTACCGGCGGCCAAAGCCGTGCCAGCGACTATTCCTGCTGCAGCGCCCATTGCCAAAGCAGTCGCTCTCAAGGACGTCGCGGTTGCGTCTACCAAGGCGTCTGTCAAGCCAGTATACGCC